ATATAATCAATACACTTCAGTAACTCAATTTCCCCAAATAACTTCAGGAAAGAGGTTCAGTTTTTCAGTGCCTTTATTGTTACTTATGCAAAAGACTCAAAGAAATATAATCCATATTCTGTTCCTTGGATATAACAAAAGCTTGTTGGGCAGGATAAGACCACGCAAAAACAAAAGCCTCTGGAGAAAGATGTCTGAAGTGTAAAGCATCACTGCTGATAGGAAATACACCGGGTTTCATTTCAGGTGAAAGCCAGGCACATGCCAATAGTAGTGGTTGAGTGGTGTGGAAATAGTTCTTAAAAGAAAACCAATTAAATGGATTATTGGAGTCAAAGTATCAATTACAATTAATACATCTAACCACTAAGTATTACATCAATTTATCTGAAAACACACGAGATTGACATTACTAGATTAAATGATCTTCTTTTTCATCACTGTATGGTATGATGACAGAAGTTACATCCAAAACTAGAAAAAAAAGTATTTCTGTAAACTAATTCTATACTTTTTTCAATAGGGAAGAATTACCTCCAAAATAGATAAACATGCAGGAGATTGCTCCATTTTAAGTCCTAGAGCAACATGATACTTATTCTGCCAATTGGAGAAAGCATCAAAAATAAAAAACAAACAAACAACACCAAAACAAACAACTTCTGTCGACAGTCACCTGCTGAGATGATCAGGTAGCTGAAATCTCGTTCTTCTCAGATGGGTCTCACAATACAACTGTGCAGATATATGACTACTCATTTTTAAACACAGTATTCACGATTGACAGGTTTTATAGAACGTATCACTCAATATCCAGTCATAATCAATGAATCCTCCAAGAAAATATTACGGAGGTTAAATTAATTTCGGAAAAAGTTAATCTCATTGAGTAAATCAAGCACAAAATATGAGCTGCAGTAAAACAAAATGCAACTGAATATTTAAATTTCAGTGAGCACAAGCATACTTCATCAAGAATGTGAACAGCAAAATATGGCATTCAAAACAATCAACTTGAGATAATACTGTGAAGCTAAGTTAAAGCACTCAATAAAATGAACAGATTTAATGCAATTTTCATAAAATAGTTTGAGGATGTGTGCAAGAAAAAAAAAAACACACCTCCAAAATAATAGGTGATAGCATCTAAGTTCTGAGATAGCAGCCTGGAATAAGTGAAAGAAAGAACATACAGGAAGGAAGATGCAGCATTTTATCTAAAGAAAACCTAAAGTCTGTGAAGGAAGATAAGGGTAATAAAGGATTTATTTTATATTTACTGCTGTATGAACAGAAAATATAAAAGGATGAAATGACTTAAAAAGAGGAGCATGAGTGCAGAAACCACAAAGGCAACCCCCAGAGTCACCAAAACCTCCAGACCACTCTCATGGAGGAACCCTATACTGTTTAGAATCTAAGATAGTTGTTTCACCCTTCAGGTTTGAAGAAATTTTTGGAGCGAAGATAGAAGTGAGAGGAAGGAGAAAGCTCTTATTTCAGGTAAAATATCTGCTATACCATAGCTCTGGCACTCCAAGCATGCATAGTTTGTGTCTGCTCTTTGATCAGTTGTGGTATTAGCCTGATCTTGCATTAGAGTATTTTAGTTCACATCTAAGAAAGAGAAATAATATGCACATGAGAAAATAAAAGTCTTCAAAGTCTAGAACCCTGGAAAACCTAAAGGCACTTTGACAAGCCAGAGTGTTCAGTTTAAACCAATGCAAATGATACTGTTTTTAAAGAGATATTCATAATCTGATGTATCTTAAGTTTGTTAGAATAACTAACTACCTAAAAGTAGGCGTCCTCATTTATAAAATTGCAGATTTAAACTACAATTTCCACCTGAAGAATAGATTCAAACATAAAATGATTACATTAGTCACAGTGCCCTCCCATTTCTTTCTACCAAATAGTTAAGCTCTGCTGGTCATGATAGGCTTAACTGTTAATCTGTTGCTTAAGCAGTTCTGTAATACACATGAGGCTAAAACCAAACCAGAAAGCTTTCATTGTGAAAATACTGTTATTTTCTAAAGGAAATAAGCAAATACTGTAAAGCAGCAAGTGAAAAAGTAACACTTTCTCTGACCTTAGACTTTGCAAGCAGAAGGGATGGAAGACCCTCAAGCAGTAGCTCCAGATCTCATGAAACAGGAAAATATGGTTTAGCTGGATTTTTTGTTGTTGTTTAGGAAATAATACTTCTTTTAAAGGATCTCAAAAGATCCATATTTAAAGATCCACGCAGGCTCCAAAAAATGTAACAGCAGAAAATATTTTTCTTTCTTTTCAACTACTAGGTAATGAGAACAATAAAATCAAGAGGTTCAATTTCTGAAGTGCTGTTTTTTCTGGCATAAGAGAAAGACAAGAACTAACAGCTTAGGTGAGTGAATAATTGAGTGAGAGTGTACATGTGTGCATGAGCATGCATATGGGTGCATGACGGTGCATGACATAGTACAACTTAGCATGAGCATACACACAAAGAGTAGCAACAAGTCTCACACTGGTAGATCACATTTACATCCAATAAAATTGAGCAAAATCAGGAGGCCCATGCATTTTCCCTTCTTATTTGTGTTATCACATTTTTTCAGACATTGTCTACCGCCTACTGATTATATTCTAATGTTCTCCATCAACGTTGCCTCTGCCTTTACCTAGAATCTGCCATTAGACTGTAACCATTCTGCACGAGGCAGCAATGTGCCCTTGTGGCCAAGAAGGCCAATGGTATCCTGGGCTGCATTAGGTAGAGTGTTGCCAGCAGGTCGAGGGAGGTGATCCTGCCCCTCCGCTCAGGGGCAGGGGGAGGCCTCACCTGGAGTACTGGGTCCAGTTCTGGGCTCCCCAGTGCAAGAGAGACATGGCACTACTGGAGAGAGTCCAGCGGAGGGCTACCAAGATGATTAGAGGGCTGGAGCACCTCTCCTATGAAGAAAGGCTGAGGGAGCTGGGCCTGTTCAGCCTGGAGAAGAGAAGACTGAGAGGCGATCTCATAAACATGTACAGGTATCTGAAGGGGGGGGTGTCGAGAGCGTGGGGCCAGCCTCTTCTCCGTGGTGCCCAGCGACAGGACAAGAAGCAAAGGGCAGAAACTGAACCACAGGAAGTTCCATCTGAACCTGAGGAAAAACTTCTTCACTGTGAGGGTGACAGAGCATTGGACCAGGTTGCCCAGAGAGGTTGTAGAGTCTCCTTCCCTGGAGATATTCAAAACCCGTCTGGACGTGATCCTGGGAAATATGCTCTAGAGGACCCTGCTTGAGGAGGTGGGTTGTACTAGAAGATCTCCGGAGGTCCCTTCCAACCTAAACCATTCTGTGATTCTGTGATATTGTCTTTTACTTTGAAAGAAATTCCTAGAATCCTAATTTTGCATTACGAAATTACATGATAGTTACATAAGACTTAAATATAACAGACTAATTGTTTTGGCTATTCCAGAAAGGATCTCTCTCTCTCAAAACCACAGTCCTGGTTCAATTTTCGTCTTTTGAGTAAAGTGGTGATAGTTTAATCAAATAAAGTAACTTTAAGATAGGGCTGAACTATAAATATATCTCTTGGATGCCTGAAAAAACATGTTCTCAGCCTGAAAATAAGTAGCAACAGATTTCATTAGCTTTTGTGTACCTAAGAAACTTTGACCAAGGTAAGCCACAGAAAATTTGGCTTCAGTCAGAAAACTACATATGAAAGTCATGGAAAATAAATAAAAGAATGTTAAAAAGAGATTTTTTTTTCTTTTTCTTGTTTCCTAAGCGTTGTTAGAAGATTCACAAGAAATTAGCATTACGTTAGACATACACCCACTATTGCTTTGTCCTAAAGAGGGAATGCAAATGAACAGCGGCAACAACTTTCAACAGAAGCATCACTTCACAACTAGTTCTGTTCTGCAGGTACCTATATGGAAAGTAGGCTCTGCCTACTTCACGTCTGTAACTGCCATCAAACAGATGTAGTACTTTTCATGGCCAGACCGAAGTTCTTCAGCTGATTCAGAGTCCTGACAGATACTCTTAAGGATAGGTCCCATGGCTGTACTCCAACTCTTCTAATATTTAAGTATGGCTATTAGGTATCCACACAGATAACTACTAAGAGCAAGTGCACACCATTACAAAGATGTGATACTCCTTTTTTTGAAGCCAGAGATGCATCCAAAAGAATTATATTCTCCCAGGGGAAAAAGAGGTCAACAGTGCTAGTAGACAAGGAGAATTAAAAAGTTATATGGGCATATGCATCCAGGAAAAGAAATAACCTTTTTCTAGGTTAGTCTAGATTAAAGTTATCTATGAGCTATATAGGAAATGATAAAACTATACGTAAACTATATTTCCATTAAAGGCATCAATTACCAACACTGAATAAGCAGTGTTTTATTTTCTCCAGTCTTCCTTTTTCAATTCAAACCGGGAAATATTGTAAACATATCTTCCCTCTGTGAATTGAAAAAGCAACGATAAGCACTCTTAATAGAACAAACTTTAAAGCATACGGGGAGGGAGGCAGAATAGGTTTATATGGTGATAACCTATAGTATTTTCTTCCCATTTATGTGGAGAATAGAAAGAAAAACAACAATGTAGAAAATTTAATTGAAGACATGATTTATTAATACAAAAATAAGGCAAAAAGTTTTAGCTATGGAAATTTAAAATAATTCCATAGATCCCAGTGAAAGTTTCTTATAGAAACTCTCACTGCAAGTAATTCAGTATTTTTTGTTTTGCTTTATAAATCATGCCACTACTTTTTTAAAGAGAGACAGACAGACAATAACCATCATGCCCTCCACACCCACAGATATGTCCACTGAAGTCCAATTAAAAATCAGCACTTACACTCTTCTCCTAGTGTGGAACTTCTTCATATTTAGGAACAAGAGGCTGGTATTGTTTCTGTAGTATTACACTAAAACTCTGTTGCAGATTAAAAAAAAAAAAAAAAGACACAGTGATAACCCAAACAGAACTCACCACAACTCCAAACTGCTCTGGCTCAGATAAATTGTTATACTCGCTCTTGAACTTGGACAATGCATTCAGTTGTTCTTGTTCAGGAAGATGTTTTATTAAATTCTATCAAGAAAAAGAAAGTAGACTTATAAATCTCAGGTATATAAATATATAAATATATAAATCTCAGACTTATAAATCTCTCTTCTGCATTGCTTGTATAATTGGAGGTAAAGATATTATTTATGTATCTTTAATGTATACTCCAAAGACAATGCTCCTGCCCTGAAAATTGTACAATGCAAATAGGCAATACACATTGATATAACTGAGAATGTACAAGGCAAGTGATTAACTACTGCCAGCTAGCATCTCCTGCTGATTCTACACACATCTACACTTCCGTAGTCTTTTGCTAAACACCATGTTGAAAGAAAGGATATATTTTTTAGGTACTATACAAACAGAATGCTTTAAGAAGCAAATAGGGCAGGGAAGACAAAATAAAGAATTCCAAGTGTGATGTTTCCACCTAAAGGATGGCAGGAATGATTAATAATAGACAAAAAAAATCTTTAAAAAAGGATCATGTATTTTCCAATAACTCAAAACAAAAACAGACTCTAAGGTGATGACAGGAAAAGTAACGCCTATCTCTACAAAAACTTAAATCCATTAGCCACTACTTCACCTAAAACTCCATAAAAGAAGGAATTCAGAGGTGGGACTCAGCTCCAGCTGAATTCACAAGTCCATAAGGACAGCTTTGACACCTACATAAGTGAAGGTTTAATGAACACAGGTAAGGGAGTCTAAAGATGTTATACTCATCTGATCACCTGAAGTCTTCAAGACTCCCCGGAGCTTCTTGAGCACTTAGACACCTATTGTTACATATAGGTACCTTTAGGCATCCAAATCCCATTCTAATTCTAATCAGCTAGTTAGACTGAAAATGGCTATTCTGAGCAGGTTCTTAGAGTTTTTCAAATATCTAATTATGACATATAATTTGACAGTCAGTAGTTCATTTATGTCCCTTTCCATATGACTGCTGTAACTACCAGGGAACAGTCAGGTTCCCCTAGCCTACCGTCTTTCCAACCTCATGATTTTTGTCTTCACAGCTATGCAGAGAACAAGATGGTGTTCTCACTTAAAATATACCCTCGTCTACTGATAAGATCATTTTTCTGAATCGAAATGAGGGTTCAATCCTTCTAAAACTGAATTAGTCCTAGAGAACACAGCTTCCAGCTTCCTACTACTATATTTTCAAGGAAGGACCAGAAGGACCAACTCCAGCATTTATCAGCACTTGATAGAAAAGGTAGACACTTCAGTTAAGTTAAAGACTATTTACTTACTCTGCAAGTAAATAGCTTTCCTCCAATATAATCAATAGAAAAGAGAATTTACTTAAGTTAGTGAACCTCATCTCTTTCAAAGTCTTAAAAAACTTAATTTTATCCACAAAAGAGTCTACTTTCTTCTTCAACAGGAAATTCAGACAGTTAGGATACACAAATTAGAGCTCTAGGGCCACAGAGATAAAAGTCGTAGCTGAGCATTGCTTAATACTTGCCTAATTTAAGAAGAATTCAACTCTATTATCTACAACATATCCTGAGACCAGTACTGAACTCAGTAGCGATTCAGTCTTCAGAACCCGTATTGTTAGATAGTTAAAAGCTAGCACTTTGTGTTTACTCTAGCTGCAATAGCGCCCATGAATTGCAATACAGATCTTCATCTTGAAATGAAATGAAATGAAAATACTGGATTTGTAACTAAGAATACAAGTATCTAAAGTTTTAATTACTTTTTTTAAACCACTTTGTTTATTAATTTATCTGTTATTTATTCAATACTCAATCTCTCAGCTCTTGTAATAATCATCAATTTATTTTAGTTCAGCAGTTATGGTCCTTAAAAATCGAATTAGGATTTCAATTCTTAATTCAAAAATGGTTATTATTTTAATATAAAATAATGATGAAGAACTGCCTAGGCCTATTTTACCCATTATAAAAAGGTGTTTTTGTAAGGGAATTGTTTTTACAACTTTTTGTGATAGTCACACTATTAACATTGCATGAATGACAAGTTCAAAATAATAACGTAAACTTAAATTTTAGGGAATTGGATTTAAACAAGGCCAGATTGACATTCAGCATGAAGAATTTATGATAGCAGTCATATATATCTTAACTATTATTACAAATGGAAAAATATTTTTGTAAAAAAGACTACATTTATTATTTATGGATGGAGGTGTCCAGCACTAAATCTGTCCTGTTCAGCAAAAATGAAAAGGCAGATAGCCACAGTGTAAAAAGATACATTTGAAACTACAAATTCATAATTCACTTATGTTTTAATATACTAAATACAACATCCATGTAATCAGTTATTACCAATATCCTAAATACACTACAACTGTTGAATTTTTACTGAAGTTTAAATGCTATTGTTTGATGTTAAAACAATTTTTGCATATAGAAAAACTGATCTCAAAATTTTTGAAAAATAGTCAAGTGGTTGTTGTATGAATGTTTTCAATATAGAGCATCAGAAAAAAAAAAAAAAAGCAGCAGCAGCTGATATCAAAGTAGCTTTATGGTGTTCAGATAAAGCTTTTGAACTGCTAGAGATGAAACACATTTTTAATTTCAAACAGAAAATAAGCAGGAGAAAGAATTTCTACCAAGTGACAAGAAACATTCTGAGATCCAGTCAATGACTGTTTGGACTACAATATGATTATTGGAGTTCTGATGTTTTTCAGTGCTGGACTGAATTCCGAGCAGCAGAAAGGAGGACATGGGGATGGAAAGAGAGCAAAATTATACATTTCAGTTGTTTCTTAAGCATGCTGTATAATAAAGGTGTAGGATGAAGGACATCTTCCAATTTCGGAAAGTGTGGCATTAAGATACACTGGGACACACTCAAAACAAGACAGAAAATTTGATGAAGAAATCTCTGAAAAGAAGCATAATATCTAAAGTATCCTATATAAATAACTCACAAACCTATGTATGGTTTTACTCAGCTCAAAATCATGAAATGCATTGAACTACTTTTTCATAGGATATCCATGGCCAATAACGGTAAAGGTTCTTAAAGGTAGAAATAGAGACATACTGCCATATGTTTGAATTTATTTAATGACTGAAGCATACAAGAAGGTGACTAATGCATTTTTAAAGCACTGAGGCAACTGATTCAATGGCTTTTAAAGAAGATAGATGTATGAGTGTTTTTTCAAGCTTTAGATGGTCCACTTTTTAAAGTAATTACAGGATTGTTTTAGCCAGAAACAAGCAACTTAAATGAAGCCATCTAATAAAAATGATTAATTACAAACCTGAGAAGTAAATTTGGAAGTCCCATTCATTTTTACATTTGATTTAGGCTTGCAAATGTTTAATCACTTTGCAAAAAGTGCAATTTATACTCTTGAACCACCTATATGCTTAAAAATTCACTGTGTGTGACCCGCCATCCTCTAATAGTATGCTTTGTTATACGCATAGAACTGTTTTCATGCAGGATACTGTGAGTATTATGACTTGTTTACTACCACGCCGACTTTCAATCACAGCAGCTCTTAACATCACTGTCCTCTTATGGGACATTATTCCTCACATCACATTTGGCTCTTCAATTTCTCTTGTTCTATTCTTAAGTAAAATTGTTCCCTCCACTTCAAAAGCAAACACATACACACCTCTTCCCCACAAGTGGTGACTATAAGACAGGCTTCCCATCTTCTCAACCATATAGAGACCTTACTGGATATGTGGACTTTCCAATATGCCCTACTGTTAATGCTAGAAAAACAAAAGCCACAAAATGAGGTGGCTCAATAAGGTATCTCCTATTACTGTTAATCATGCCTATTATACAAGGAATTAAAGTGGGAATGGGTTGTGTTAGTCATTTTAAAGATATAGAAAAGTGGGTATTCTCTCTCCCAGTATACATACCATCTAAAGAGAAAAAATAGACCATAGAAAAGAAAATTAGAAGAGAAAAAAAAAAAAAGAAAAAAAGGTAAACAATTCCATGAAAATATTTTTCTTGATTTTTTTTTTGCAATTGATGTTCACGTAAAAGAATGTCATTAATTAATTATACACTAACAGTTTTCCCCGGGGCCTAAAAATGCCAAAAATGTTTTGCCCTCTTGAAATTGCTGTTATCAGGTTACCTGGTTTTCATAATATTATTCATATATAATGTTCATAATATAGATCAGTTAGTAACATTACTGATGATCGAATATTGTTAACATGATAAATTTTTATGTTTGAAAAATAGTGCTAACGTCAAATAGCATGACACGGAGTTTCAGAGGAAGCATGGACTATGAAACAGAGTTCACGCTGTATATCAGTGTAGCATATTCCATCTCTCAGCTTGCCATGCTGTTCTACAAAATTCCAGCTATTATTCAAAAAAAGATACAATACACAACTTATCTTATGAGCATGAAGAAAATAATTGGCGTAAGCACAAACAGCTCAGAAATGTAAACTCCCCTGTTCACCTAATAACCTTAAAGCAATAGATAGCTTCAATGCCAATAACAACTGCTTCACTGAACAAAATGAAAAGAATTATACAATGATTATATGTATAGTCACTGCAGATAACAGCTCATGTTGATTCCTTCAAATATTTAAGACAAACGTCTCATTCCATGAATCAATCAGTAGAGCTTCCTTTAAAGAAAAAGGAAGTTCAAACCACTCAAAGGAGTCCAAAGATCTGTTGAAGCCCAGGCATGAGAAACGAGACCATAACTGCAGACTGGAAGAAAAGGAACATATTGAACATAGTAGGGTCTCCTCAAAATCTTTTTCCACCTAATTTTTGACCAGAACAATAGATTTGTGATTGAGATGAAGTTAAAAAAAAAAAAAAAGTAAAGACAAAATAAAATAATGTATGCTATTTGAATATATACAAACTAAATGATTTAGTTGTGGAGAATAAACCTGCAGAAAATAGAGAACAATATAAACTCAGTTGTTTCCATAAAAATGATTAGCTCTGCAAGTGTAACAATATGCAAATATAAAAAGAATCAGAGTTCACAGTAAAAAGATTTTAAAAATTGTTGCAGTGGTTCACTAGCCAAAAAAGTCATGTGAAGAGTTTTTAGTTGCAGGTTACAATTTTAATGAGAAGTTTAGGCTGAAATATTGGAATTTAATTTATCTGACAATTTTTTTTACCTGAACCATGGATTCTGCCAGCTGTGTTTCATCTACTTCTAATATCATTGTTTTGATCTCCTCATAAGGCATTCGGAAAGAGCCAAGGAAAATTGCTAAAACAAAGATTGAACACATAATGAAGAAAGGAAGATAACATCAATCTTTTTTCTATTTATAAAGCACAAATCAAACAAGCTACAGGTGAACAACCACTACACAAGGTAATACAGATTATATAAAACAATTTTAAATACATTTTTAATTACTTCTCTCCTCCAGTTCCACTATTCTCCATCCATTTGTTATAGACAAAGATCCACTATCACAGAAGACCACCATAAGTAGCAAATGATCTACTAAGGATAATCACTGCTGTTACATGATTTTGTGCTGAGATGAAAGTTATTACACTTTTTTTCCGTCGATGGCCTTGGTTAGTGCTTTCTCACAAAAAATGAGAAAGCACTTGAGAAAATATCCCTACCAAACCACATAAATATTTTCAAAAAGCTCTTTTAAGAACTGCTTATTATAAGTTCACCATAATCCAGTAATTTCCTATTTTACTTCTGCCCGCATTTAGTAACCTATTTCTTATAGCACACCTCTCCTCAAAAACTTCAACATCTTTATTAGTATATTATTGCATAATACTGTCTGTTGAGTTTGTTATTATTATTATTTTTTATTTAAAGCATATGAGAAGGCCAGACCCCTCATGTATATTATTGTCTTAAAATAAAAACAAAAAATAACAAAAAACACCTTTTTGGAGTATTACCCTAAGAAACAGGTTGAAAATAAAGATAAATAATTGGATATATAGCTCTAGGCTATTACTCAGATATGTACAGAAGAGAGTAATTTTAGCCTTAAATGAGTGACGTAGTTTAATTGCTTTTTGGGTTTTAAATTGTATAAACTTACTTGTTTGAGCTTTATGCCAATTTCTGTGCACATACGCATATTCTAATACATGCTTTAAATAAACTGTGGTTACAAGGCAGTCAGACAAGAAAAAAAAAGTTGTATGGAACACTAAGGGTACACTAACTTGTCATCAAAGCAAATTCAACTTACACAGATTCTGTGCGATCTTCGGGTCCAAAACTTTCAATTCTTTGATTCGTTTCTTAATGGATTTCTTTTCTTCAAAATCTTCCTCTTCTTTTTTTACTAGCAAAGTAAACACAAGTACACTCACTGTTAACTCTAAACAGAGAAAACATTTGCGAACACAGGAAGCACATTTCCTATCAATTTTAGGCAATTCACAAAGATTAAATTATGAAAGTACAAACAAAATACAGTGGTTGCACACATATTCCTTATGTTTGCCTCAAAATATTTGCTCTTCAGTTAAATTTTCCAGCAGGTTAGCCTTACAGAACAAGTGTTTTGTTTTTTTTTTTTTGAATACACACACACACACGTATATGTGTATATACCTACACCAGCTTAATAGAGGGCAATGTTAATTGCAGGATTCACCTCAGGACATAAAATTCATATATCTAATATACCATGAAATATGCTTCAGACAACCTGGTCAGGTTAATACTTCAAATTTGACTGTAACAATAACAAAAGCTAAGGAAGAAAGGTCAATAGCTCTCAGCATTGAGCAATAAAGATACAACCTAAAATGTATGTATTTCTGTGACAGTTTTTCTCTAAATTCACATTCACTAAAACTATTAAAGACCACTGGCTCATGTGGGGGGTGGGGGGAGGGGGAAAGAATTTAGAATCTAAGTGAGTATATATTCATTACTTTCTTTCCTTATTTCCTCCAAAAAGATGTATTTTTAAAAATATGATCCAATCACCTTCTTATAAAACAGTACAAAAACAAAGTGACTGTAGAAATGTACGTTAATATTGCTGAATGTAAAGTCATAGAAATTTTGGCTTACTCTTCCTTTTCAGGAAATAGTTCATACAAATATAATTTCCTAAATTTCCCAAATACAAGCTGAATTTATTTCTCATTATTTACACATTATCATAAGAACTTCACCTGAAATTACAGCATATGCTTGATAACGTATTAGTAGAAAAAGAACCATTCTAGCTATTATGCAAAAAAATAAATACATAGAAAAATAAATAAAATCATCAAAACCTAAAGGCATAAAACTTCTTTAAATCTGACCCAGTCTTCTTTTTTAACTCAGTACAAATCTTTACTACCATATATTTTATTCCCCCAGTCCTCTTTCCAATCATTCAACTAATTCTATCTACTGTTTCACACCTGTAGGTTCCAAGCTTTTACAGATGATGTTCCAAATTAATACTGTTCTTCATGTTTCAAATATTTGAAAGTAGAAAATATGTTGTAATAAAAGTATAAGTTATTCACTTCAAAAGGAGATGGATATAGATGAGAAATCTAGTCTAGCATACACAGAAACCTAACTGTTATCCTTTTGGGAATAGTCATGTCATAAACTTGCCCTACCAATTAGAGAATACTTGACTCACAAATGGATAACTCAGTCTCTCCAACCTGGGAAGACATACACCCAGTCTAGCATTACCCTTCCAAGCACTGAACCTTGTTTTTCACATATGTATTGAAACTATTCCATGCTTTAGTCAGAGGCATGGTTAGGTTTAAAATTTCCAGCTCATTGCTGATTGTTGATAAAATTAGACACAACATCGATTACCAGAAATCCTGCTGGTAATTGGAATGACTTCTTTAAACTGTAAGAGAAATCTTTAAGCATATCATTCTTAAGAAATGTTTTTCTTCTAAACAATAAATCCTTCCCTTGACAGGGAGAGATATTAAATGACCTCTTGATGTCTTTGAGCCTTTCTATGATACTACAGAAAAGGCAAGAAATTAAAGACTTCACACAGGGACTGATGGAACTGTATACTTGTCCCTTTTGAGTTACTGGAGATACAAATTTGAATCATTTCACAGATCTTTTTCAACGCTCTGTAGCTGTAGACAGCATGAAGCTCCTTCTGAATATCTGCCACAGCACAGAAGAGAATCCATTACTCTAAAAGACGTAATCTCTGAGTCAAGGCATAAAACAGTCCTTGGAAGAAGGACTGATACCCAGGAGTGATATCCATGCAACTGAGTTAAAATCACAATCCTCCTTGTTTTTTTTTGTTGTTGTTGTTTTCTCTTTTTTTTCCCCAACTTGTTAGCCTTGAATGTCTTTTAGCACAGATTTAACAGAAAGGTTAGCATTCTCCTGTTCTAAGGAAACCTAAACAGTTTGGTTAGTACACATGTAAAAGCAAAAGAAGTAGGTTTGAATCACTAAGCTGAGACCTCCACATCCATGTTCAAAAGGAGTAGGGTGATATTTGAGCTATAAAGAGGATAAACACGAAGCTACCACTTCACTTTTTTCTGGTTACGCTTTAAGAGCAGCCCAACTGAACCCAGAAGAAGGCTTCAAAGGCTACAGATCTCAAGAGCATACAACCGTTTTCTCCTGCAGTTATACATCATAAAGGACCTCTCAAATTTCTTATCGACTACATGCTGAAAACCATAATTCTTAAAAGTATTATTTTGAGTTGCCTGTCAGGCAGGTATCAATGTTAAGACTTTAGATTCCACTGCAAGATCTGGACAGCTCTCTAGCTCAGGAACATCCACGCCATCTTTATGTTTTACTGACTTAAATCGTGATGAAAATACACTAATGCTTTATGCCTAATTCAGAACATGACAGACCATTTTATAGGGAAAAAAATGATTTGCTTAATAGTCACACTAAAAAAGTGAATTTATCTGAATTTAAACTTGACTTCAGCGATAGCCTTCAACTAGATACTAATCGTGACTGAAATAGAAAGATTGCAAATATATTCATCTTTTCCAGCAGTAGAAAGCAATGTCTATGCATTGCAAAGTGTCATAACATAGATTAATACACACACACACACGAAAATTCAGCAATTAAACACACATTATTTTAACTCTCAATTTTCAAATCAAGAAATAACGCTGCAAAACATTGTTTGCTATGCACAAAATTACAACAATAGCTAAAGCATCACAACTTTAAGGAAAAATAGATAAGCATAGAAAATTTTGCTCTAGGAACCCATGTAAGAATTGTATGCACAGTTATACAATTATATAACAAACTAAACCACTGCAAACTTACGTGATACTTCGTCAGGAGAACTCAGGTCACATCCTTATGTAGTTGGCAGCAGAAAAAAGCAAAGGATACATATTACTTGTCTTCCCTACAGGAAATGCTGCACTGTCCAATGAAAATTCTGATACCTGCTACTGCCTCAAGACATGTTTATCTTACCTGTGTATTAGCTTGCAAGGAAGCCTTAAAAAGATGCAAAAAACTATTATCTATTTCTAATGAGGAGTGGAGGAGGAAGCCCACTGAGGGAAAAAAAATATTTAAAATTAAATAGAAAGTACTGAACACGTGAACTGAATTTCTAGATTAGCAGAAAGTCAAAAGAAAGAAGAATATAAGTAATAAGATTTTTACTTCAGGAGGGCAGTGGAGCAGAAAAGAAAGTTTACAGGAGGTAGAAAATGCTAAACATCTGCTTACATAGTAAAAAAGAAAGCAGCCCAGTGAGAGTGGGTAGCTGCTGCCAAAAGGAGGTGACTATTTTCTGAGTGGGGTAGAGGTTAGACACTATTGCACTGAAAGAGAAGAATCAAGTCAAGGGATCTCAAAACACAGATCCAGCTCTCATGGCTGCAGAAGCTGGACCATCATACTTTAACTATTAACTTTTTTAAAAGTAGATGTCTTATCTGTGGCACTTGGATCACTTCAGGTATTAGGTAAATAAAAAGGAATGTTACGTAGCAATAACTGGATGTCTTTAGACGGATGATCTGTCTATATGCTACACCTACACTGGGAGCATACACAGGGCTCAAGCTGGATAATTTTTCAGTCAGCAGCACCTGACACAGTGCTCCAACCTCTCTGCCTTTCCGGCTGGGATACAAAATGGTATAAACATGCAGAGTTCATCTCACACCTTCACAGCTCATCTTAACCCAATCAATCCTTTCTTATTAATGTGACTCCAAATCGGAGACAGATTTTTGTGATTATGAATGTGCAGATGGACAAATATCTCAAAGAAGTTTTATATAGTAGAAAGATTGCTTTTACTGTCTCCTTCAAATGTGTATCCATACACACTTTCAGCTGTAGCCAACTGTCTCCATCTGTGGCAGCGCTCTGACTGAAATCAGAGTCCTGAAGGAAACTGTGTCAGAAGCACTACGTTCCAAGAGTAACATCCCAGATGGATGCCTACAGTGTTTCAGGAAAAAGTGGATGGCATCCTAGGTGGCTATTCTGCAGATCTGGAAATCACCACAGTCCTGGTAGGTGCCACTGAAATAATCTGTACGTTCATGAATTGCCATCAACATTTCCATTCCAGCATTGTCACAGGTCTTGATATGGTCCACAGTCTTTGTGTGCGAACTATGCCCATATTTTTACTGATCATTCTACTGAATAAAAAGAAAATACTCTTGAACAGCAGACTTAGAAAGAAAGTCTCAGCTCTGAACATATATGCTAAATGAATAAATAAAAGATGTTGAGTTTCTGGTTCAGCACATACACTACACAAGTCTACAGCACACAAGAAATGGAAGAAGAATCTGGAAAGAAAATTCAGGAGTTCCCTAGTAATCTCATACTTTGGGAGCCAACTAGTTTTCCAAGCAAATCTCTTCTGAATTCTCCTTAATGCTCATTTTACAAGAACTTTGCAAAGCCTTTTTGCAACCTTCTTCCAACTAAAATAAACAGTAAAAATACTGTTGAACCCCACAGCTATTGCACTGTATCCTGTAGAGAACAGACTCAATTTAAAGGTGGTGGGTTTAGACAGGGTCAAGCCACTTAAGACAGAATAAAATATATTGTACCATGAAAGGCAATAAAAAAAACACAGAAAAGAAAAAGTAATCAAGGAAAGTAATTTCTTATTATAAAATTTCAACTAAAGCTTGGAAACATCCACTGTAAACAAGCTCCAGCTGAAAAGAACCGAGACTGTGTAATACAAATTTGAACACTGCAAAAATACGAGCGTAAGTCTACAAAGATTTTCTACATGGCAGTTTGGGTGAACATAAAAGTGGTCAGAAGTCTTGTAAAAGGTAAAATTAGAATTATATCCTAAAG